GACAACCATAGGAGCGTTTGACATGTTGCCGTCGAACTCTCGGGTCGCACCTTTTGAGCATACTCTGGGCCCTCCCTGAAAGGAATCGTGGGAGAGCAAAGGCCTTGAATGTGTTTGTTTGCCGGACTCGGTGGCAATCGATTTGCTCTTGAGGTGCCCCGCCAACAATCCGCCTGGTCGATTTTTCCGGGTTGATACCATCATGGAACTGGGCAAATGAAATCACGACCGTACAAGGACCTTTCAAGGGAACACCACAATTTTGGGGTTCCCCGAAAAAGGACGTGGCCATTCAATGGTGAGGCGCCAGATGCGCACAAGGGCCCCTTGACCTGCTTGTCCCTCGCTAGGCGGTGCTGACGCCCCTCCTGCTGTGGTTGCACTTCAAGTGGCTTTCCATTCAGCTGCCTGGCATTTTGTTTTGCTCTTCAAGCAGGGTTCCCTATGCTTTGTTTTGGTTTGGAGTGGCCACGGTTGAAATGAGTATTCTACCTCAAGGGGCGTGATATATGCATATCATAAGGAAGCCCTTCTCGGGTTGACAATACAGTGACCCAGAGATGTTGAAAGCCTAGAAGTGTAGCTCGCTTTAGGAGTGAAGCCTTTGAATAGCGACGTCCCTGTTCGTTCCAATAGCAAAAGGGGGCCAGAGACAAACCCTTGCAGGATTGCCAGTAAGGTCATCCCTTTTAAGTGTCTGCGGGAAGATCCAGGAATTCCCAACCATGTGCGGTGTCCCGAAGTTTTAGGAAGCACTTACTCAGTGACTCACTCCTGGAAAATGCATAGGTGTTTCTTCGGAAAAGCAGCCCTGTTTACGCCCCCCACCCCCATTCTGTTTGGAAGCACTCCCAGTTTGCTGCTGGCGCACCCTGTATCAGCATTCCGCACCAAGCACCCGAAATCAGCACCCCTTGGGTGACCGAGCACCCTTCACCCACCTGCACTGTCAGCACCCAAACAGCATGTCCCCCAGCACCTTGGTTTCCAAGTTGAGAATCACAACCTCGCGAGGTTGGGAAGTGATACCCCCTGTAGCAGTCAGCCTTGCTTGGCGTGAATAATTTGGAACGCGCCAACGCATTTCGCAATTTGGACCTATGAGGAAGATACCGATTGCCATCTTGCCCGCCAAGCATTTTGAGGATGTTGCAGCCATCACAGCTTGGCCAATCAGATAGAAATACGTTTGATCTTGACTTTCCTGCGGGTTGACACCATGGCGAGGCACATGGTCAGGGGACAAATGATCACCCGAGTCAGTGCATATCCGATAGCCTAGAGAACAAGGTTGTCGTTTTGAGACGAACTTATTGGAAAGGATATGGGTTATGTTTTGGAGGGTGCCCCTTCTTGAACTGGTTTGAACGAAGACTAGAAGGACAACCACCATTTTAGGGGGCCCTCCCAATAAAGAATCGCCAAATGGCCCTCGAAACGTTCAGACAATGGAAAAGCACTACCTCGATACTACCTCGATACAAGACGTTGGTGTTGATAGTGTTAGACATGCATCGATCGGCCCTTTTGGCAATCTGGACCTATGTGCTAAATTCCCAATGTTGAATTTCCCCGCATGGAGACTCATTGCCCTAGCAAGACAACCCACAATTTCCCCACACGGCAACATGTTTTCTCAAATGGAAATATGTTTCCCCAACAGGAAACGGCCACTTTACAAAAGGCAACCAGACGTTTCTCTGAGTTTCTGGTGCGAGTTTTAGTTGTTTTTTGCATGTTGGCTAAAAAAAGGTCTACAACGCATACACAGAGGTGTCTGGAGGTATGTGTCCTTGATGCATACATGAACATGTATTCTATGATAGGTGGGTTCCGTACACTCGGGGATCCCTTATACCCCTTCAAGGGGCCAGCAAAGGTTTCGTGTTTCCAGCAAATCACTTTGTGGAAGACCTTGCTGGGGGTCGTTCCAGATGCCATTCACTGGGAGTTTGGAGAGTTGTTTTTCAATGTCCCGCGTCGGTGAATGCCGCGCTTGCCTCGGCCTAGGCTGCAGCGGCTCACGCGCGGGTCCCTGTCAAGCGATGAAGCAATCCATGTTGGCCCTGCGTTTGCTCCGGCAGATTCTTCTTTCACCTGTCACAGGCGGCTCAAGTGAAGCAAATCACGGAATTTGCATCTACAACGGACATGTATTTTCTCTCAGACGCACCCACCCACACCCAGACATGCAGCATTTACATATACAATGCAAACGCATAGATATGTACATTGAACATGATGTTTTCATATAAACTCACATGTCCAAGACCTCGCCATGGTCTAGTTCTATGGCCTCTTGCGCATCCTGTTCAGACACAAAAGGACCCCGGAAGCAAACATGCGAGCAAAGAAACCAGGAAGTGGCCACAACGTGCAGAATTGCAATTCAACCAGAAGGGCATGCAGTGAGCACGAAGCTGGCAACATGCCAGACAACGAGCTTATCCATGATGAATATGTTCGAATTGCGAAGCCATTGTTTGAGGTGTTGGAGTTCTTATGATTCATAGCGCAAGCCCCTCATGGATTTTTCTTGGATCCCCTCAGCAAGGTTGGCGGGTAACAACTCAGGCGCATCCCTGAGACCTTTTTTTGTGGGGAGGGGGGCTGGTTGGCATGTTCAAACATGTTGGCCCAACCCAAGTCTTGAGCCTATTGCGTGACTTCGATGATGGCAAGTTTCTGGGGCCACTGTTGACGTTCTTTCAAAGCTAAGGACTCCCCAGTTTGGACGCCTTCCCATGTCGTTGGGACACATTTTTCCAATTTTTGATATTCTTGTGGTTTGGTTGAAATCCCTCCCCACTGAGCTGCTATTGATCTTCTTGTGGTTTAGTGGTTGAAATCTAACCACTGAATTAACTGCTAAAACTTGAGAAGGTTTGCTCCCCAAACCCAAGGTGAATCAAGTGCCTGCAAACCGGACTGGCTCACGAGGTCGCGGCCCTTTGTCTCGGATTCCTCGCGCTTGCGGGCGGACGCCTCAGCGAGCGGCCGGCCTGAAGGGCCTTTTGAAGAAAAAAAAAACGGGTCATGCTCAAGGCCGAGTCATGACCAACACACTATGTCAAGACAGGTTTCGCGGTTTTGCCAAGATCTTTGGAAGTCACTGGCCTCATGATTTTTCCATCAAAGTCACCCCCTAAGTGGTGGGTGAAGGGGAGCCACCGATTCCATTTCCTGACTTTGATAAGCACCAGAAACAGTCAAAATAATGACCCCAGAGTCATGACCGACACTATGTCAAAGACAAGTTTTGCCAAGATCAGGATACGGTCCTCCGTTTGTTTCCCTTTCACGTAGCAAAATAGCATTCCCTCAAAAACGAAATCTCGAGGCCTGGCATGTCCCTTGAGCTCAGCGCAGTATCATGTTGCTCGCCTGACTCGTAGGTCCTCAACACTTTTTTGATAAATATAGATCTCCATGTAATTGATGTCCAAAGAGTCTTCAATCAGCTTGTATACCCACAGGACTGGTCACTGCGGTAGCCTACGTAGACAGACAGGAAGTCTCTAGTTGTATGACCAGACGAGCTCAGATAGAAGGGGTTTCAGAAGCCATGGAAAACTACCCAAGAGCTCAAAACATACAATCAAACACAAACAACACGGGAAAAAAAGGGACGGCTCAAAATAAAAGCTGAAAAACTGAGGCTGCAACTCAGAAAGAACTCAGCCTTGAACTCAATCCGCTTACTTGCGCGTAAGGCTTAGTCTGAACCTGATTGTTTCCTGAGTTTGTTTTGAGTTCTATTTGAGTTGTTGTTGTGTTTTCTTGAGGGACACCTGCAGATTTCCTCCCCAACCAACCCCCTTCTGCAAAACTCCCAAAAAGAACCGAAGAAAGGACGCACGACAGGCTCAGCTCCAAGCTTTTTCTGGTTTTGTTCTGAGTTGTCCCTGAGTCTCCCCAGATTGTGAGTTTTCCAGATTGAGTTTTTCGGATTGAGTGTATTTGTTTTCTTTTGCAAATTCCTGGTTTTTTGTCGCTCGGGCGAGATCAGGTCATACCTCTAGTTTTGAGGCATGTCCACTGGTTCAAGCAACTCTCAAGATTCAAAGGCGAGTCCCTAGGTATGAACCCCTGGTATGGGTGAATTGACCGTGAGTTATGGCCTAATAGTGGGAATTCCGCCCCAAAAGGGTCCAAAACTTGGCTATGGGTTCATGGATAGGATCTATGCAATCAGCAATTGAAGGATGTTACAATGCTGTCTCGAGTTTCACGGTGGAGACATATGCCGCAAGAAGGATTCGTTTGAGTCATGTCCTTCGATCTTAAAGTCAATAGACTCTCACGGGATTGAAGAGCTCGGGGGCAAAGAGGGAACGCTGGGCAAACGGTTTTTTCCGCGCTGCACCTCTCTTTTTTGTTTTGCTTTGGATCCCTATGGCCTAGGTCAAGCTTCCTCTTGAAACCTAGCCTTGAGAGAGAGCAACAGATGGTCAGATCTACAGGCTGCAGGCTCCGGGCACATCTCGGAGTTCAGCAGAGCCGCAAGAAGCAAAGGCTGTCGGCGATGTTCAGAGGGCAATTCTCAGGAAGCTTGTTGCCCTGGCACAGTCGAAACGAGTCAAGAAGAGGGAGCCCCTCCCGAATCCCAGCGCGCTGGAGCTCACGTTTCAGCGGCTCCTTGGGTCTTCGGCACGAGTGAGCGGTTCAGCCCATCGCACACCATTTTGCATGACATATGGCCACTTGGGGTTGAGAAACGTCATTCTACCTGAGGAAAAGCAAACCAGAGATGCCTTGTCATTTTTGTTGCGATGTCAGCTGACTTCTCGGCCCAAAATCACAGGGAGCAAGTCCTTTTTCCTGTGGAGGGCCATGTTTTAAATGTTTTTTTCCAAATAAAAGTCAAAAATCGAAAATAAAGCAAACAAATATCGACCCTTTCCCTGTGGGAAACCACCAGGTTTCGTCGTCCAAATGCGACACTCTGATCCCAGGTAGCGCTCCAGCGCGTCCTCTGTGTCGGAGCCCTGCTGTACTTCATGGGAGCTCCTTGGCTTTGAAGAACCCGGAGCCGAACTGGGCCTTTGGCGGTCTGGTGGTTTTCCGAGCCACGAGGGCAGTTTTCAGGATGCTTTGAGGGACCCAAGGCGACGTCGCACAGATGTTCCCGCAGCTGTTATATGCTCCTCTGGGATGTGGCTTTGAAGTGTTTAGCTAGCTATTTGGCTGGAGCCTTCAAATGTGGCAATGAATGACTGGAACCCACCTGTAACTCAATCAACTTGTTCAGGCAGTTGCCTGCATTTTGGGTCAAGCTGGAACAGGAATTTCTGACCAACTCATGTGCGAAGGCAGGTTCGCCCAACACTCGGATGGCCATTGGAGGTATTTTGGATGCCTGAGTGGTGAGTATACTGAACAACTCTATGGGAGTGCTAAGGATATAGTAAAATAGCAGGGCATTCAAAGTGTGTTCTGCATTGCTGTTGCCTTGTGATAAACAAACAATCTCGTACAAAAAGCAGAGAGGTCTACCTGAGTTTACATCCACTGACGTTCCCTTTGCTTAACTCAGGGTCATATCTGTGGAGGGATGGGTATATGGGCCAGGGGAGCTAGAAACGGTGCACAGACCCCGTGCGGGCAGCCGAGGTCCTGTTTTTCCTGAACAGCAAATTCCCGCACGAGCCCAACTGCGGGCCCTTCGACTCGCATCAGACGCCAGGACTCGCATCAGACGAAAGGGCTCCGGGATAGGGCAGGACCCACGTACAAGAGAGTCCTCGCAATCACTGACAACAGCTTGACATGAGCATTGGGGGTCATTTATCTATGCCTGAGACCCCTTGCTTTGATTGCCGACATGCCCAGACTGACACACACCGCAATCAAAGCTGCTCAAAGCACGACTGGGTCCGCCAAGATCAGTGGAGCAGAGAGTAGTTTTTTTTGGAAATCCATGCAAGTTGTCGCTGGATATCCCGGCCAGTCACTGGCAGTTCCGGGCAGTTCACAAAAGACTGTGCCAACTTGGGGTGCCGGGGATTTCATAAATCCTGCGATTGGGATTGTGGGAGCTTGTTTGACGAGGGCTTGCCTGTGGGTTTTGGGTTTCGCTCGAACCCCCCTTACAGTGGATACATATATATATATATAGCACGTCCATATATTCCATGTTTGCGAGTTTATGGTTCTCGGGTCCCGCCATGCGCAAAGCGAAAACGCTTAATTACAGGTCTTTGTCATTATCAACATCGGCTCACCTGCCCATTTAGTTTGTTTTGCCGTTGGGGTGTTCCATCATGTAATCTCTGAACCTCTAACACATCAACTTGCTGCCAGGGCTTATGTAAGAGTCAAGTTGTGATGTGCTTGCCATTGCATTTCGGTTTGGACTGACTACCCCCTGAAAATTGGGCGACCTTTTTTGCGCGCAACGTTCTTTGTTTGCAAGGTGGACGCTTTTAATTGGGTTTATGGCCCGTGTTAGTAGCCACATGGCTTTGTAGTGCGTCTTAAAACGTACGTTTTCCAAAGCCTCGAGAAAACCATGCCAGAAATGGTGAAGCTGGTTCATGCTCAAGGTCTTCGACCTTTATGGAGGTATTGAAGCATTGATCAAGAGAATGGCGTGAACAATACCGTGAAATGGCGTGACCGCCTTTTCTGTGTAGCGAACCATGAAACGACAAAACCCCTCAAGTTCCGCCTGGCTGGGGTTGTCTTGGGAAGACCATGGATATTCCATTGCAGAGATGTGTTGCTTTCGTCCTGAGGCCTTTGCAGGTCTAGCTTGGCTTGGAAAAGGCTGCACAGTGCTACATTATGTTTTTGAAGGAATCCTTGTCTAGTGTGGTTTAAAGGCAGACCAGAAGCGAAACCACGTTGCCTGCATTTGCTAATAATATGTTTATTTTCCCTTGTTGGTTGTACGGGGTATTTGTCACTACTGGACGTATTTTGTTTTTGCAGGGGACTTAAGCAAATGGAAGTAGTTTTTTCTCGGCATGGTCCCTTTATTTTCTCACATACCCACTGCCGCATGCTTCATGTGACTGTGATCGCCTTCTCGCGTGCGTTGCCGACCGCGCATCGTGCAATTGCGCTTGTTGCTTCGAGCGGTGTTTTCCTCGGGCGGCGCCTAAGTTTGCAGGAGCGATGATCTTCGACCTGCAGTTTGACTTCAAGCGAGGAGCCCACCAGTGTCAGGATACGGCTGAATCTTGTTCTGAAGTCAGATCATCCATGTATCAACTGTTGGTTGACACTGGTTGTTGGAGGTCAGATTGCCGCTTCATAGTACGGACCTGCCACCCAACCAGCGTTGCCCCACTGGTATGTGCGTTCCCGCGGTGAAAGTCTTGAGTTGGCTTACTCTTGAGTTGCCCCAGGTTTGTCCAATGTTGGCTTACTCTTGAGTTTGCCACCTTCGAACCCCTTATGGATCCGTTTGACACCAAAGCCATTTCCCAAGGTGTCCATACTTTTTCAAGCTTGTCCCCTGTTTCCATGGTACTGGGCATTTAGAGTTTAGACGGATTTGTTGCAGCTACGTACATAATGAAATTTAAGGTATCGACGGACCACTAAGGCACCTTTCTATGCCCCATGCGCAGGTTGGTACTACCAGTTTGTAGGCAATGTATCGCGGAACAAACCTTCTGCCTGTTTCATGACAAGCTCGCTTGCAAATAAACGAGCTCACCGTGATAATGATGATGGTCCTTTCTTGGGGGATCCCTGAATTCAGGTCTTGAACGTCCAGAATTTGCAGATTTTCCACTATTCCAACAGACTAAAATTGGGTATGGTGTTTTAGACCCCCCTTTTAGCAGGCAGATTTCAACGGGACTAAAGGCCGCCAATCGTTTTAGAGGATAGCTCATCCACCCTCATGTGGACGATGGGGTTTTAGGGACACTTTCCGTTATACCCAGCGAATCCCGTCAAAAGGACCAAAAAGTGGTCATGGGAATCCCGGTATCGCAATGGCCACTGGGCTTTCAGGTCCTACCTCGCAGAGGGCATGGACTTCTTCGCAAGGCCCGCATTCTGAGAGGGAGTGGAGGTCAATCCCAGGCCTACGGATCGCATCCCGGACCATTTTCCCCAGCGAAACGAGGAAGATGTATCCAAGCGCCAGCCAGTAGGTTGCCCCATGCTGGTAAGGGAAAAGGGTGCAACCCGTGCAATTTGCGGCCTGGATTCTTGTGCTCTTCATTGTTGTGTTTGCTAGCGACAAACAAAGACCTGGCAACCAAGTCGTTTTGTGCCAGAGGCCTTGCGCATGGGGCCTCTTTTTTTTGGAGGGGGGAATCCTTGTTGGGCCTGGCAACAAATTCCCCACATCAAGAAACCCTCAGGGACGGCCCCTCGAATTTCTACCCAAGCACCCAGTGGCGACTTCTTGTTTCCCTTTAGCAAGTACAACACAAGGCCGGTGGCGCCGTCTTGTTTCCCCTTTTTTGGAGGGGGCTTGCCTTAAAAAGCAAGTAAAAGACAAGACAAACTCCATGGTCAGGGGTGTTTTCACAAGGTCAGCCACACAAAACAAGTACCAAACAAGGGTGTTTTTTTTCTCCCCCATGGTCAGTCACACCTGGCAGGATCTGGCTGGTGGTGTTGCTGGTGCTGATCTTCGGCGTGCTGATGCCTGGAGCCTCGCGTGCCTATAAGCAACCCTTCCGGCAAGACATGTCTGTCAAAACCAATGGGATCCCATTTTGGGGTAGGAGCACCACCCATTTTTAGAACCTATTTGAGTGGGGATTGGGATGTTCACTGAGGGAACGACTTGGATTTTGACCCATGGCCACATTTGCTTGGGTAGTCTGCAAGATTGTACGGAGGTGGGGCTTGGCTTGCCGGTGGAAACGGCAAGCCGGGAAGATTCCCAAACGGTTCAGCCCCTTCAGAGGTTGCGGGGGATTCTCTTTGGCAGTCTTCGGCCTTCTTCACCTGGTTAACCTTGCACCAATCAACATGGAGCCTGACAGGGGGTCTCTTTAAATCACTAGGTCCCCCAGTGCCCTTTTACCCTTTGTTGGGGGAGGGTTCCCTTACTAAAATTGACTACAGAAGAAAAGGGTACCCTTATTCTAACCTCTCTACTGGAGGACCTAGATAAAGGAAAACGGTCTTTGAGGACCCCCTGTCAGCTTCGTGTTCATTGGTGGGAGGGTCATCTATTTCGTGGCTGGGGTGCCTTTGGTGTTCACGTGTTCACTTTGCCCAAGCCGAAGGCTTGTCCTGCGGATCGTCATGGCACGCCGCACCAATGACAAGGTGCCTTTTTTTCTGGGGAGGTGGCCGGCTCGCTCGGCCATTTGCTTAGATGTTGGCTTCTTTTTTTTTCCTTGTTTTTCCGCAAAATTGCTCTTGGCTGGAGCATATGATACATTATATATATATATATTATAGAGTGTCATTGTTTGTCACAGGCACCTTCGGTGACTGGATGTTGAGTGCCCGTACCGCCATTTTACCAGCAGTTGACGCTGGTGGCCATACCTGTTGCTCCTGCAGCGTACCTTGATTTGTTCATGTTTCAAAAACTGTCCCGCATAAAGACGTCTTTCTTTGAACGAAGTGTATCAAGTGTACCCACCCTACCATGACCAAGTTGGTTAGCCACCTTGACCCATCAGTCCACCTGCTATCCGATTCTGGTCCCTCCATTCGCCGACCATTGGTGAAAGCCTGTAAAGAAGTTGGGGTTGATCAAAAGGCTCTTTACATGGGACGACCATTGGGGAGAGCACCAAAAAAGAATACCTTCACTACTAAATGGGAAGAGTTACCCATGATCATTTGGGGGGCCAGGAATATATTGATCAACCCCCAATAACTTGACCAAGTACTGTGCCATTGAAGCCTCCTCGTAAAGGACAAGGACGCACTTGTCGGAACGATCAGTATGTTGTGAACGCCACATGAAGCATGATGCCCGACTTTTTTCTCTGAAGGCGGCCGCCTAATCTACCACTTCCGGCCTTTGAGGCTCGCCTGTTGGAACAAATATGCCCTGACCAGGCCATTGGCATCATAGATTGCCAGCTCAAACATCATGGGGGGAAGAAGCAAAACAAAAAAACGGTTGAGCGCTTTCGCGGATTTTCGCCGGTGCGTTGCGTGGCGCTTTTTGATTTTTGGGACGTCTACCGAAACTTATGGGGTTTAAGTGGGAGAGCCAGGTGCTGGAGGCAATGGCAGAGACCTCCCACCGCCAGGCGGGGTTTTGAGGTCCAGAGCTCCAGGTCCTTCCCCAGAGCTCCAGTGGGTAAGTTGCGTCCTTCGTCCTTTTTGCCTTTCTTCCGGTTTGATTTGGGGGGTCCCTGCTAAGATCAACCAGCTTTAACAGATCAACCAGCATGTTTGATTTCAGGGCCCCTTTTTAGATCAACCAGCATTAAAAGATATATAATAATATCCCATGGCCACTGAGGTTTGGTCGGGGGTAAGGACTAAATTATTCTAGAGGGTTGAATTATCATGTCATTGGGCCCGGGTTGTATGGTTGGCATTTGTTTTTGTTGCGCAATGGGCAAGTGCTGGTTTAGAGAGCAACGGGGATTGTGGCTCTCAAAGGTTCTTGGTGGCCTCCAATCGTGCATTCAGTTTGTCGGAAGAATTGCAGTTGTTGCTTTGGGGCCCAGCTGTTTGCGGCAAAAAAGTGGAGCAGGCTCCTCCAAGAAGCTCCGGGGTTCCGTCGCTTGCGCGGGTGAGACATTGCTTGCAGCAACCAGATCCAGGTAGCCAAGGTCGAGAACTTAGCAACCTATCAGAACCTATTGAAGCTCAAGACTGTTGGACTTTTTTTAATTTTGCTATTTCTGGGGAACCCACGGCCGTTTGCGCGGGGATGGGACGGCAGGATCAAAAGATGCAGCTGCATTGGCGCGAGCCCCCCCCCCAAACCCTCAAACCCCCAACCCCTTGCAACCTCTCCCGCATCGCCCAGGTGGAGGCGCTGCACAAGGAGATGTTTCGTCTTGAGCAGAAGGCGGACATCTGCAGGAAGAGGACCGAAATGCACTCACCCTCCTGCAGCTTCATGTTGGATATTGGCTCCACGGATTGGGACGCAGCTCACCCACGGAACCGCTTCTGTGTTTTGGTTTGATGTTGAGCTGTATTCCCCGTGAGGATGGGTCAATTGATTCATCCAAGTTGAGGTGGATGCTCCTCGAAACATGGGCCAGGTGTGTATTGTGGGTGTGGAGGTCCCTTGAACGATCAACCAACAAAAGGGGTGCTCTGTTTCATCTTTCTTTCCTACTGCCACTGGGCAAGTAGAGCATGACCGGGTAGAAAGTTGCCACGTTTGTTTTTGTCCGCTTCGCATCAGCCACTATGGCAATAGTGGGGACCAGAAGTTCCAATGGAGGCGCTGGCCCTGATCTCTCACTGCACAACGGTGCAGTTGAACAGTACAGCAGCCATAGGCAAAATAGATTTGCATGAGAAGCTAAGCGACAGCCACGTAGTTTTGTTGCTTACACGATCAAGACGTTTTTTTTTTTTGTTGTTGTTGTTGTTTTTACGTGCTTCTCGAGCCCATTCTCAAAAGGTAAGCCCAAGTGGTATCCCCAGCAACCACCACACTGCGGGAAGCCTAGCCAGGCTCTAAACCCCTCACCCATCAACCCTACCTCGGTACTGAACCCAAAAACCTTCTGGAACCCTGGGGGAGCAATACATCGCTTAAAACACAAAAGCAACGAAAGAAACAGCAAGCTCACCGGCCAAGAGGGGCTGCCCATGAAGCCGTCTGAGTTTGGGGCCTGCGATCCACCCATCTTAGTGCATCGCTTGTGGATTTTTGCAGTGGAGTCATGAAAAGTCTTTGCGGCAACCCTGCAAATCAAGGATCCATCTTAGGCATTGTTTCTTTTGTCGTGGAATCATGAATGAAAGCCTTTGCGGCACGGAGCAAAGGGTTTTCGCGGGACGGGACTCGTAGAAGAACCGACATGAGCTGCGCTGGATTTGCCTTTTCTGCGGCATTCAACAGAGATGAGGCCACTCATGGCGCCTTGGTTTGGAGGCAGCAGCTAAGCTCGGGCCATTGCAGGATTGATTGGATTGAGAAGAATCACAAGAAGTGAGTCAGTGCGCTCCAGCGAAGATGGCAATCTGGCTGTCGGTTAACGCCCAGATCTCGGGAATCAGCGACATGCTCCATGAGCTTGTACCTGTACTGAGTTTCTTTCTTGCGGTAGAGCCGGCCCACTTTGCCCATTGGGGCTTGTAATCGGTTCAGACAGAGGTTGTAGTCACTGTTCAGAGTCTAGTCTGCAAATCTGCAGAAATGATCAAGCGCTGACCTGGGATTCAAACAACGCGCCTAGCTTTACAGGGTTCCCTTAGTTCAACTTCGGGCGATGTCGTGATTTGTGCAATGCTTTCTGAGCGGCTGGCCATGTCACAGCCGAACTAGAGCTGCCTTTTACTGGCCATTGGTCAGAAGCGGGGATAGGAAGCAGCGTGGATAGGGTTGGTGTCATGATACATTCAATTGTTTGTTTGGTGTAGCAGGGTCTCTGAACATCGGAGATATTTAATCATGTTAGTCTTTGGTTGGGCCAAAGACTGATTAAATAAGGTAGACGAATGATATGAAGACAACTGAATCAGTTTCAAAAGAGTCTAATCATGTCTAATTCCACATGTCATCCACAGCATTGCGGCCCAGCTTTGTTCAGCAATTCCAATGTATATACGTACTGGTCGCCTTGGTGTCGCCGTCATTTCATGACCTGCCTGAATATTGTTGGAATATCCCACAGTTGATGAGGATCCAGAAGGCAGACACCAGATTCGTCCATCAGGTCAAGAATCATCACAGTCGCAGAGTTTTTGCTTAAGCCCTAGGGCGATTACAACACTTAGCGATGATGTGAACTCACGGCAATAGGGAGCACAGTCTCCCACCTGGACAGGCCAAATAGCAGCCAATTTGCTTAGGACTCAAAGGGTATTGGTTAGTTTTTGTTGCAGGTAGTTCCATAGTACACTTTACAGAAGACCTGCATTCTTGCCGGTTGAACTTGTCAGGTGTCAAGCTGTCTCATGATATTAGTCAAGACTCCAAGCGGTTTTGCAACTTGTCCGGCTAGTCAATCCAGCCGGTCTGCTCCTGCGTGGTTTTGCGCTTTGCCCGGCCTCCTTTGAAGGGAGGGAAACCCATGACGAAAGTTTGCGAGATCACTTTTCACGCGCGGGTTAGGAGCTGCTCGCGTTGAGGCAACGTTTTTTTTTTGCATCACATGTTGTATTGGAGCACCAAGATTCTTGAACATCTCGGAGATGTTTCAGCGCATGCGAGGCTCTTGACCCATTTTTGCGTGTGCACTTGTTGACTTATGGCTTTGGCCATCATAGCATCGCGGGAGCTGGGTCCTGATACAACAGTTTGCTGCAGTTCTTTGCCTAGGATTGCTGCTTGTGCGAGCATGACAGGAGATATTGTCCGTTTTACGCTGCTAAGCCTGCCTTGCGCGAAGGCGTTGCTGTTTGGATACAGCTACCACGCGTTTGCGGTGGAAAGGCTTGGTCAAAGACCACAGCTTTCTACAGCTTTTTGGAGCTTGCGCATCTTGCAAAGTTCCAGGTAACAAAGGCCCGGGCTTGAGCGGCTACTTCACTTGCTAGTCAACTTCCAACCGCACAAGCAGCAAATCAGCCAGTTCTGGACATTGCTGGAATTATGTCCAAAGACGGCCCTCATTTTTTCCCAAACGCGCCCACCCAACCTTATTTGTTCCACTTGTTATGTTTTGCTTTAGACGTCTGAAAGCCAGTCGCGGGTCGAACATAGAAGCCCCCCAGAGAAGAGGGCTTCAAAAGACGGCATTGCTGTTCATTGGGGAAGGATCAAGCTTAGCCTAACAAGATGCTCCGTAGTCTTACCAGGATATTGTGTTGTGTGTACTTCTCCACTCGAGCAAGTGACAGCAATATCTTGGTTTGGGAAGGACATGGCGGAGGCAATTTGCCCCATACGCTCTTTGGGCATTTTGTTTGGGGCCCGTATGCCCTGCTCAAACAACCCGTCGACTGCCACATATCACATATGGTCTGCGTATCAAAACTAGGGACAACTATCTACAGGGGTAGGTATTCACATTAGTTGCATTCTCAACCTTTCTTAACGTGGGCCCCAGCTTTGTACCATTTGGTCAGTACAGTGTTTCTCCCAACTTGGTCCGTGGTACTGCAGTATGCAAGCCTTGGAAGTCAGGCCGCAACTCACAGTTGCCACATGGGGCGGGCGACAGGAAAGACAGTCACCAAGAGTTAGGACTGCCCTCACCATCTATGATCTGTCTATTTTTGTTTTTCATGTTCCTTCACCTCTTCTTCTCCGGGATCTACCGGAGACGGAATGAGACGAAGGAAGTGAGTTAGAGTGAGAAGGAAGGAAGGAGAGCGAAGATGTGAGTGAGCGGTCATTCCAGGTGCAACTGTCAGTCCAGTTTTTCAGGTGTTGGCTCTAAATTCATAATTCGTCCGTCGGGAGTCAGGAAGATTGACGTATTGTTGGGGGGAGGGGTTCTCATGCCCATCGAACGTAGCAAGCACCTTCAAAAACAGTCACGTGTTCAACTTTGGATGTGTAAAGCCATTAAGCACAACCAACTGAATGTAAGAAGCAGAGCGAAAGGGCTGAATGTGTCCATTGCCTTCCGATTTCCGGATGTTTGCTGTGTGGCTCATTGGTCATTGGTCAAGCCGAGCCGTGCGACGCCTTCAGTAGGCGCGGGGTTTCAGATTGATGCAAACAGATCTATGGGTTTTTGGGGTTCAGTTACCACCATTAAATCAATGGTGGTTGATACAACCTCCATTGTTTACCTAAGGACAGTCATCCGAATTGGGTCAACCATTCTTTTAATGAGCTTCCCGGCCCAAAGGCACGTAGCTTCGAGAAAATGACAAAAAAGGAACCAACAAAATAAACGTCCAAAGCGCTTCAGCTTCCATTAAGGAGATGCACCTGTGGCCCCTTTGGCCTTGTTGTCTGCCTTCACTCGCGTCGCTCGAGAGGCGCTTCGACCATGGCATGGCGCCTGGCGGCCACTTTTCTGGTGTCCGCCGTGAGCGCGGATGACGTGGCGGCCTGGTACGCATCCTTTGAATCATTGGCGCAGCCATGAGTTGTTGTTTGTTTGTAAAAACCCTTCAGGTCAGTTGTCGCTTCCTCTTGTGGGTCAGTTCTCCTTTTGGTCAGTTCCCCTTATATTCGACTCGCCTTTTGGTCAGTTTCCTCATGTGGGCCTCCGCCTTTTTTCGTGTTGTTCCCACTTGGAGCACGCTTCCTACCGCTGTTATGAACACTTACAGATACTATAGACTGGCTTTTTGCTCATATGCCCAACGGTATGCCTCTAGAAGCCTAGAAGCTCCTGCTAGACGCCACAGAGCCCGCAGAGCCTAGTAATTATATAAAGTCCATCCCAACGCGCTTCTCCCGGACCCCTGGGCGGAGGCCACGCACACAATGATGGACAATGGGATTGCCAACGGCCCTGCAACAGGCCTAATAAGGCCCATAGAACCCCAAGACTTTCGCGTGGAATTCCTGGACATTTGCGTACGAAGCGCGCGGGGGCGCCCGGATCGGGGTGTCTCACTTTCATCTCCAGAGAGCGTTGGCCAAACCTCTTTTCGTTGTAACGCCTTTCTTGGCTCTAATTTGCCTGCTTGGCCTAAGGAGCCTATTCAGCTTTTGACCTAAAGTCTTGTTGTTTGGGGTCTCAATTTGCTCGTCAACAATCGCTTTGGCGCCTACAGAAGATTGGAGTCACAAGCAGAGTTCCTTGCCACTGCTTAGGGTCTTACTGGAGGACAACATGCATTCCAGGGAGGTGCCAACCCCCTCCCCCCCCTTCCAGTTTTAAAGTTGGACACGCCCCTGGTTAGCGAAGCCTGCAGAAAAAAAAGAGAAAAACATGTTGGCTTTGGATGTCACAGCGCTCCTTCACGACATTGAAGTGGGGGGATTAGGGGTACGTGGGGAAGATAGTTGGGCGAGAACAGATGGGTGTTTTTTTCTCGCAGAACCCGGTATGTCACATCTTAAAACAGGAGGTAAATGCAGCTTTTCTGATCAAAACATCTGCTTTTCTGATCTGTTCTTGGCATGTGTTTTGGTTTTTAGCTTCTTGGTTCTGTTGAGTTTTACTGGGGGGCTGCAAAAAACAAAGTGTTTTGCTACCATACCAAGAGTAGAGGTGTGATGGGTTTGGTGTGGTGGTCCAAGGGTTCGGCTTTTTCAATATGCAACAAGGACCAAGGTAAGCAGATCCAATCCGCCGGCGAAGCTGAAGAGACCATCGAAGACCTGAATGAGTTTGCGGGTCCCTGCGGAGAGATCCCTCTTATTTCATTGTACTTCACCTCGAGCTTCTAGGGATTCCTGTTCTTTGACAACCATGACTAGTTTCATTCGCCAGCTGTGTGTCTTATTGTTGTTGATCTTTTCCAGGCAAGGGCCCCTGGAAGGAATGGTGGGAGGTGACCCCTGGCGTGTTTCACCCGCGTTTTAAGAGGTAGCATGCCGGTCTGCGCTGAGTCGCTGAGGCAGTGATTAATCTTATCCGCCACGGAGAGCTGCCCGGCAAAAAAAGACCCGTTCACTTGGGCGTGGTAGGGATGGACATCTCTTAGGGGTGAAGGATAACCCACGTAAAGTAAGTGAACCATGACCATGATCCACACAGGAAGGCCTGACCTTGGCAAAGATGCTTAGCGGCTTTCTGGCTTTGGCCCCTTTTTTGGTGAGAACCACGAAAAAAGATATCCCTTCTCTTCTGGGCGGGTGGCTGGCAACTATTGCACAGTGTCGGTGGTTTGTTGCAATCTGTGCGTGGTTTTTCCCTCAATCCCGCGCAAAACACGACAGCAACGCTCGCTCTGTGGTTTCATCCATAATATATATATATATAGAGTAATGTATACACACAACCTTTTTACCCGTTGGAGAACAGCTGTCAACCCACTATGCAAACAACTAAACAACTGGCATTTTAGCTTTGCACGGTGGGTCTTTGAGACCGACGTTGCCAAGCTAGTCAAGAATGGGGGGTCTCTGTCCTCCGATGCTCATTTCCACTGAGCGATGGAATGTAGAATCGTCGTGGCAAATGTGCAGCAACGAGATTGGACATGGCGATGCCAACCAGTGCTTCTTCAACTATCTTCAACTCTGTAGTGACGAGTAGTGCAGTTTTGTGGACAGCACTGGGAGGATGTGAATTGAACTTGGTTGCAAGCCAGTTCTTCTTCTTTTTGCGGGGGTAAGTGGCTAGATCACCAGGGTGACTTGTGTCAGGTCTGCTGGCATTCCTTCATTGCGAGCTACTCTTCATCCTGGTCTTTGTGAGCATGTCTCAGAAACCGTAGGAACTCATGCTCCGTGCGCCCAGGAAATGCGATGACAGCAGCAGTACTGGGCTGACCGACATCGGCAAGGCTCGCGCTGCCTACCTGGCGCGCTGCATGAGCCAAGTGAGCGCCAGCGATGTGACGCTTGCTGGGGGGGGAGGGGGGAGGGGCTGGGGGGGCTGGGGGCGTTGTCGGGGAGTGTCATAATTTTCTCATTTCTTCGCATGTTTAGAAACATTCCGGCAACGCGCTGCGGCCAACTTGTCTTCCTTATGCCCTGACTGCCCCTGGACTGCCCAAGCTTTGCTCGAATGGTGAGGTTTTATCAGTTTGTTCAGTCTAAATGTCACGTGCAAGGGTGGCAGAATCGTCGTTGCTTTCAAGGTTTCATGGTTGTTGTTGGGGAACATTTTACATTTTTGCTTATTGTGGTATAGTGGTTGAAATCCAACCACTTAACTGCTAAAATTTGAGAATTGTTGCTCCCCTTTCAACGTCAACCCAGGTTTTGTGGGATTGCAATACATGTCGACCAAGGCCCTGGTGCCGTTCCCTTGGCTTTCAATCGGCCAGCAACAAGTTCGGTAGCACTGGCAAAAAACCCCGTGTCACGATTTCTTTGAAAGTGGTGCTATTTTGAGGGCTTCTGAAGTTTACCTTTTTTTGGAGCGGTTTTCTTTCAACCATCATTTGGGCAAGTTTCATATCACTTCAAGGGACCCAGCAAGAACAGCTCTGTGAAATATTCGGGCCAGAAAGGTTCTCAGAACCCGATCAGAACCTCTAAGAGTCCAAGAACCTGTCTAGAGGTGGGCGGGGGCCTGTACAAGACTACCCCAAACCATCCTATTCTACCCTCCTGCCCATTGGAACTTGGAACCCGACTGAGTTGTTTTGCCTGGAATACTATTTCGCGGTGAAAGGGAGCTTGTGGTTCCATGTTGATGGACAGGACCTGGAGATTCCAATGCCGAGGAATTCCTGGGTGTTCTGGTTCTCGAGGCGTTTTAGGCATTTTGGGCGTTTTAGGCATTTGTTTGCGCTTTTTTGCGGGCGGTTGCCCTTTTTTCGCGGCGTTTTGCGGCCATTTGCGGGCGTTTTCCGGGCGTTTGCGGTCATTTGCAGGTGTTTGCTTTTTCCCAAAACAGGGTCAATGCCCAGATTTACCAGGATTTCCTTGACGTTTAAACACTTTTAGGCGTTTAGGCGGTTTTTTTTTGTTTCTCTCCGGCTTTTTTGCCGGTTGGCGTTTGAATCTCTAGGGAGGGAACCACGTTCGCCCCGCTTTTCCGCTTCAGGATGCCGTTTGGCAAGGCCACGGCGGTGATGGCCAGCGCAGTGCGAGACGGCCGATGGGGAGAGAGAGAGAGAGAGAGAGAGAGACGCGGGCGGGGGTGAAAATTGGTGTCCCTTTGGGTATGTACCCTCCCACCAGCTAACATGGAAGTGCAAAAAAAATGGCCAAAAAGGCCCTTTCCAAGAGGAAAGAAGTCTTTCTACAGGGGAATGTATCTCTGTTGTCCCAGTGGATTCCGCCACCTTCTTTCTCTTTGTCGGGGGGAAAGAGACGGGTCCCAGCATGTACAATCCCAACAGCTAACATGCAACCCCCGTGTATATATAGAGAGACTACTTTCCTCTTGGAAAGGGCCTTTTTGCACTTCCATGTTTGTTGGTGGCAGGGTATCTCTGTTGTCCCAGTGGATTCTGCCCCTTTTTGTCGGCTTTGTTTTTGTGGAAGAGTTCCGATTCCTTTACACTCAACCAACCGAAAAAGGAGGCCGATTCGTTTTTTTCCCATGGCCACTGGGTATCTAAGGTATCAAAGCAGGGATGTAGACCCCTACAATCCCTTTCGTGTCTCTTGAAGCCAACGAGATTGGTACCCTCAAAAACAGGCCCATTTGCCTATGTGGCGCATTCGGAAGGGAGGACCCCACCATTTTTCCCATGTCCATTAGAGTAGTCATTCGAGGAACGGCATGCGTTGACCCAACAATTGACAAAAGCTAAGGGGCAAAAGGGCGTAAAGAATCGGAATGCGTTGTGAGGTGCTGTGAAGCCAAATTACCTATGAGCATGGAAGATAGCCCCATACAGCCCCTTGGATTGCTCACCTGCAAATCATCATGAAACCCAAAACGGGGTCAGCCAGAAGGGGTCAAGCTTAGAGAGCTGTCAAAAGGCACGGGTGCCTCAATGCTTTTCTTATAGTTTCAACTGTGCCAGAAAAGCTTCGGCAAGGTGCAACGTTTGAAGCAAACATCAGGGATCCCTGAAGGAATATCATCCCAGTGCCTTTGGCGATGCGCTCGGGAAGTGGGAAAACGGAAGACATTTCAATTGCGGCTCAGCAAGTCACGAATTTGATTTGGGTCAATGCATTGGTTGAGCAGTTGTCAGACTTACACCACAGAAGCAACTAATTATCGAGGAACCCAGGTCAATTTTCATAGATGTGTTCCCTGAGACCCTTTTTGGAGTTCATGTCTGGTCTGAAGGGAGCAGCCGTAGCTTTGCTTGCTCATTTTCCTTTTTGGGTGTCCATTCATTGTAACTGTTGACAAGCAACGAGTTGTCAGCATTCGTGCGAGGGCTCGCTGTGGAAACTGGGAGAACTAGGCAGAAACACCTGGAACAGGAGCGCCCAA